GAGCATACTATTTCAAGAGGTTCACCAAACCCATGGAGTCCAAGATCATTGACGTCACTCTGGGTGCCAGCTTAAAAGCCCCCCATCTCGATAATTCTCCTTTCCCTCAACAAAAATTATGTTATCGTAGTTTTTCATCTAAATTAGCCCCACTAATGTTTACATTACCTGGTTTACATTACCTGGTTTACATTACCTGCATTCACACTGCAATTAATTTCACCTTTCCTGCATGCGTGCAACCTCCACCAGCTGTAAAACCACAAAGTCTAAAGGGAGGTTGATTCCAATTGTCACTACATTGAACTATTGGCCAAATGACTCACAAACTCCCAAATGGATTCATGCACCTAGAAATAGAATACATTGTACTATGCTCAAGCTTGATTAACATGCCTTCCACCCTCAGCATTTGTATCTGTTCTTGTGACCAGGTATTTGAATCCTGGTCTACTATATGGATACACATATGCTCTTGAACATTCTCTCCACTATGAAGCAAATTATATAAACTTTCAAAATAAGCCCAAACCTAGCAATGGTCTTGATTTTTAATGGATTAGGGAAAAGAATAATTTGGAGGGAAAAAATTAAAGCAAATTCTATTTTGGCTTCTTCTTTTTCCCACATTGCAGTTACTGAAAACCTTTGATTAGAACTCTGAAAAAGACCACACATTCAACAACTTGAAGCAAAAGGTTAATGGTGTTGTTACAACTATTATCCCTTTTAAAATCATTATCCTCTTGGTTTTTATGGCTATATTACCTTCACCTTTCAATGAACCCACTTAACCAGCTGTTTCCCTCTGTCATAAAGTTTGCTGAACATCATCGTAGAAATAGGATAAATGCCGTGTTTATCAATCAAGCCTAAGGGAATCTGAGGCTTCTTATAACCACAACTGTAAAGGGAGTTTATTGCAAGTTTCTGTTTTGATTTGTAAATTGTCCTTAAGTAAAATACATACCTGATGCCAAGATATAGAATGTAAAAATGCAAGATGGTATATTACAAAAATATGCATCATAAAGTTTGACAGATTGACAAACGAGAAAGCTAAAGACTACTGAGGAACACACACAGCGTAGCTTCCTTGATAAGCCAACCCCCCCCAGCATCTCCGAACCTACTCACACCTGAATTCTCTGATCCTTCACTCCACACTACCCCAGTACACAAAGAACGTATGAAACATAGGACAGGTGCTTTTAACTTACACAGTGCTACCTAGAAAGTCTCAACACAGTTCCAAGTTTGATATGATGAAGATATTATTTCATCATAATGCAATAAAATTTAAAATTTACAGTGAAAGTCCCAAAATACCATCACACATTGGGGACTAAAAAACACATTTTTAAATTATAAAACATTATGAAATTCTTATCACTAAATGACTGCAAATATCAAAACTTGTAGTTACAGCTAAATGAGTATTTTGAGGAAATTTTGCAGCCTTAATAAGCATTTCAAAAAACTGAAAATGAATGAAATATTCAACCAAAGCAGACATAAAAAGGACAAGAGAAAAAATCCAAATAAGGTAGTAGAAAGGAAATAAGCATAAGAGTAAAAATTCATACTTAAAAAAAATAGAGATGAACGACAAAACCAAAATCTAGTTCCTTGAAAAAATGAGTACTATTTATAAATTTCTTGCAAGATTAATCAAGAAAAGAAGCAGAGAAGCCACATATTAGCATAATTAGAAATTGAAAAGAAATATAGCTATAGAGAAGTTGTGTTATGTTAAAACTTTAAACAATTCTGTACTAATACATTTGAAAACTTAGATGACATGTAAAATTTTCTTTAAAAGATTTTAATCACCAAAATGACTCAAAAACAAATAAATTCCAAATAAGAAAGCAACAACTAAATAATTTGAATCAGCAGTCTAAAAACTGTCTCTTACCAACCAGCTTTACAGGATAATTTTATTAAATCTACAAGGCCCAAAAATCTCTATTTTTTTTTTTTTTTACAAATTTTTTTCAAAATAAAGAAAGAGTGAAAGCTCTCAAACTCAACTTTTGGATGTTGTTATGACCATATGCTGAGAGGCATCAAGGGTACTGTAAAATAAAATTAAGGACCCAACTCCTTTATAAGTATTAATGCAAAAATAACAAAATAGCATCGAGTCAAATCAATAGCATATAAAAATAACACATCATGCATGAAGTGGATTGATTTATATTAGTAAGGCAAAGATATTTCAAAATTATAAAATCAATCAACACTAAGACTAAAGGACAAATGATATGATTATCTCAACAAATGCAGAAAAGTTATAAACATCAAACTTTATTTATTATAAAAGCTTTTAGCAAGATAGGAATAGAGAATAACTTTCTTAACTCAAAGATAACATCATTCTTAACATCAAACTTTGTAATGAGTCCCAACAAATTCTGGAAAAAGGTAAGAATTCTCACTACTGGCACCACTGTATAATACTATACTAGAAATCCTATCCCATGAAATATGACAAGAAAAAGAAGCAAGAGGCTTAAGGAATGACTTTAAGAACAAAAGTGTCCTAATTTATAAATAAAATGATTATCTGATTCCAGGGTCTGTAAAATAAGGCCCATGGGCCAAATCAAGCCCATTGCAGTCCGAATCCAGCCATGCTCATTTGTTTACATACTGTTTATGGCTGCTTTTATCCCATATGACAGACTTGAATAGTTGCAACAGAGACTGCATGACCCTTAAAGACAAAAATATTCACCATCTGGCCCTTTCCAGAAAAATCTGCACACCCCTGATCTACGTAATAAATCAAACAGAATCTACAAGCAAACTATGAATGAAATGAAAGCATTTAATACAGTTTCTGGGCTCAAGATCAATGTACAGAAAATCAATAGCATCTTTATACACAAGCATAATCTACTAGAGAACTATATTACAAAAAGAGCAATTATTTACAATAACAATAAATAAATAAGCAAACATTTCTATCAGGCATATAGAAAAATATGTCACACCTTTACAAAAAAATAAAATATTTTTGAAAGACATGAAAAAAAACTAAATAAATTGAGTATACCATTTACCAAATGTGAATATACCATACCATGTAATAACAACAACATCAGCACAACAACAACTTTATCTAGTACTGCTGTGTGCCACACTCTATTCTATTCTAAGATAGATAGATAGATAATAAAATCCAAAAGAAATTTTAATAAGGAGAACAATGTAGAAAGACTTGCCTTGCCAAAGATTACAATATATTAAAAAATTACGGTCATAAGACAGTATAGTCCTGGCACAAAAACAGAAAAACAGACAAAGGAAATAAAATAGAGCACTTAGACTCATACATATATGGAAATTTCACATAATGCCACATGACAAATGTGACATTAAAGAGCAGTAAAAAAATGGATGGAAAATTATGTGAGTGGTGCTAGTATGTTGACTGTCCATCAAATTCACTCTTTTTGCCTGCTCTATAAAAAAGGACCTGGGCCTGTTAAATATTTTCCCATCTGATGGCACAATGTTAAGCTTTGCCAGTGGAGGGTGCTCAATTCACACTGCAAGAAGAAGTTCTGCTTTCTGGTTCTAGTGTGTTCACTAGGCATCCTCTTAGTGCTCAACTTCTCTAGCACCAGACTCCTGCAGCAAAGGCAGCTTCCCAGTGCACTTCCCAGTTCTCTCTTGGCATTGTTTGGAAATAAATAATAAATATCCATAAACAAGGGAAATTAATAACCAAGTGTGGCCTTAAGCATATTATGGATTACTCTACAACAGTGAAGTGAATGACTAAATTAGTTCTGTGTATATCAACATGAATAATCTTACAGTGTTAAAAAAAAAGAATGCTGCAGAATAATATATATAGAATAATGCCATTTATAGAGATTTAATGGAAAGATAGAGGTATAGTAAAAATACAATAATATGGACTGGAAGGATATATAACAACCTTTACATGTTTTTGTATTGAAATTTTTATTGAGATAGTTGTAGATTCACATGCAGTTGTAAGAATTAATACAGAGAGACCCCTGTACTCTTTACTCAGTTTCCCTCAAAGGTAACATTTTGCAAAACTATAAGACATTAGAACAACCAGAGTACTGACATTGATAAAGTCCACAGGTCTTATTCAGATTTCCCGTTTTCCTTTTTTCTTGTACATGTGTATGTGTGCGTGTGTGTGTGTAGTTCTAAGCAATTTATCACATGCATAGGTTCATGTGTCTACCACCAAACAGGTACGTCACTACAAAGGTCCCTTGTGTTGCCCTTTTATAACCATATCCAACTTTCTGCCTCCCCTCTCACCTCATCCAGAACACCTGGATCTGGATGGCACCCACCAATCTGTTCTTTATTTCTAGAAATTTGTATTTTCAAAAGTGTTGTGTAAATGGAATCACATAGTTCTGATTCAAAATGGCGATGTAGGAAGATCTTAAGCTTAGCTCCTCCCATGGATATACTGAGTCTACAGATACATATGGAACAATTTCCTCTTAAAAAACAAAAAGTCTGGCTGAGTGATGACTATACACTGGGAAAACAAGAAGAAAATCACATCAAAGCAGGTAGGAGAGGCTGGGACACAATCTCCCCATAACCTCACTCCTGACATGGTAACCCACAACTGGGAGGGAACTCAAAACCCGGAGTCTCTCCCTGAGGAGCGAAGAGTTCAAACCCCACAGCAGCACCACAAGTTTTAAGATGTGCACTTGAGAGATGAGCCCCCCAAACATCTAACTTTGAAAACCAATAGGGCTCATATCCCGAGACCCACAGGACTTGTAGCAATCTGAGAAATGCCTCTTAAAGCACTCGCAAGCTCAGACTCACCTGCCTCAGGGTCCAGGTCAGAGGCAGCCAATCGCACCTAGCCTTAAAGTGTAGGAGGGTCCTATGCTTATATTGAAACATCAGCCTGAGAGGTAGCCATCTACTTTAAAACGCACATCTAGGAGCCTGCTAGAACAGACTCCAGGGAGGGAGACTGGTGGGTGCCATCTTCACACTCTCCCTTTGCTGTGCTCCAGAGTACCAGTATCTCCCAGAAGGGAGTTTTACACGCATCGGGTGCTCTGATTTTTGTGGTGGCCACCCAAGGGACATCTTGATTGCTTGGCTCTGGGGGCCAAAGGAGCTTGTGATCCTGATCCCATGGGACTGTAATAATTGGTGTCACCCAGAAAGGAGCTCATATCCCTGTCTGGCACCCCAATTTTTGAGACTGCTGCTAGGGGACACCCCTACATTTCCTGGCTCTGGTGACCCATGGGCCCTATGCTCTCATAGGTCACATATGACTGTAACCAACAGAGAAAGAGTTCTTAAACAGCTGCTCCCACAGAGCACAGCAAGAGGCAACAGAACCAGGAGGTCAGTCTTTCCGTGAAGGAGGCCTATTAGCTAATCATCATGACTGCAGCCTGACGAACAGTCTTCTAATTAAACACACATCTAGGGACTGACTGTAATCCTCTCCAGAGATGTCAGAGGGTGGGCACTATACTCCCACTTACCCTCTGCCATGCTTCAGAGCACCAGTGTCTCCTAGAGGAGAGCTTTACATGTGTCTGGTGACATGGTTTTTATGGCTACTGCCCAGGGAACACCTCCTCATTGCCTGGCTCTGGTGGCTGGGAAGTCTTGCATTCCTGGGTTCCACAGGACTGGAGAAATAAAAGAGATGATTCTTGGCAGGATACCACCCCCAGGGCAATGCACAGACAGCAGACTGAGGCATACCCCCCAGTCCTTCTGTGAAGGAGGCCTCTATGTTTGTCCTAGAGGGGCAGGACTCAGGTTTGGCATTCATCTAGTGGTCTACAAAGCTGCCTTCAAGGAACATAGGTTATGGATACCATCTTGGCAGTCTCCCTCTGTCTCGTTCCAGCTCACTGGTATCTCCCAGAAAAGAGCTTATACATTCATCTGGAGCCCCAACTTTTGCAACTGCCTGCAAAGGGACACTGCCAGATTGCCTGGCTCTGGTGAACAGCAGGGCTTATGCTTGCAGTCCCACAGGACTGTATATATTTGCATACTTTTAAAAGCTGCTGCCTGAAGGTCTGGCTTCCAGCCAGCCTGAATCTAGGTGCTGAGATCCTCCCCCTTGGGACACTGACAGGTCTTGGCACATCCTCAACTACTGGGAGCTATTAAAAATATAATAGGCTGCTTGGACAATCACAAACATTTGAGAGACAATCAACAGCTGGCGCAGGATTGAATGACAAGATTCATCTCCTACATGAGCCTTCTCCTTCAAGACTGGGAGAGGTGATTGTTTTATCTACTGGATAGAAACCAACACAGAGAGTCAAGCAAAATGAAGAAATGGAAGAATATGTTCCAAATGAAAGAACAAAATAAAACCTCAGAAAAAAACCTTAATAAAATGGAGATGAGTAATCTACCTAATAAAGAGTTCAAATTAATGGTCATAAGGATGTTCACTTAACTGGGGAGAAGAAAGAATGAACATAGTGAGAACTTCAACAAAGAGATGGAATATATAAGAAAGTACCAAAGAGAAGTCAGAGAGCTGAAGAATATAGTAACTGAACTGAAATACACTAGAGGTGTTCAACAGTAGACTAGATGGAGCAAAAGAAAAGATCAGTCAACTCAAAGACAAGGCAGTGGAACTCATCCACACAGAGCAGCAAAAAGAAAAAAGAATTTAAGAAGTGATAATAGCTTAAGGGACTTACGGGGAAACATTAAACAAACTAATGTTTGCATTATAGGGTTCACAGAGGAGAAGAGAGAGAGAAAAGGGCAGAAATCTTTGAAGAAATAATGGCAGAAAAATTCCTTAACCTGGGGAAGAAAACAGACATACAGATCCAGGAAGCCCAAAATTTCCAAATAAGATAAATCCAAACAGACCCATACCAAGACACATTATAATTAAAATATCAAAAGTTAAAGACAAGGAGAGAATATTAAAAGCAGCAAGAGAAAAACAACTTGTTACATACAAGGGAACCCTCATAAGAATATCAACAGATTTTTTCAGCAGAAATTTGCAGAAGGGAGTGGCATGATATTTTAAAAGCACTAAAAGAAAAAAACTTCCAACCAAGAGTACTCCACCTGGCAAAGTTATAATTTAGAATTGAAGGAGAGATAAAGAGTTTTCCAGACAAGCAAAAGCTAAAGGAGTTTATCACCACTAAACTGGCCTTAAAAGAAATGTTAAAGAGACTTCTTTAAGTTGGAAAGAAAGGGCATTAATTAGTAACAAGAACACATATGAAAGAATGTCTCACTGGAAAAGTAAACATATAGTAAAGGGAGTAGATTAATCACTTATAAAGCTAGTATGACAGTTAAAAGACAAAAGTAGTAAAAATAACTATGGTTACAATAATTAGTTAAGGGATACACAAGATAAAAAGATGTAAAATGTGACATCAAAAACATAAAATATGAGCGACAGTAAAAATGTTGAGTTTTAGAACAGGATCAAGCTTGAGTTGTTATTAACTTAAAATACATTGTTAGAGATATAAGTTGTTATATCTAAGCCTCATGGTAACCACAAAGCAAAAACCAAATACAAAAGAGAAAGAGAAAGAAATATAAGCATACCACTAAGGAAAATCATTAAACCACAAGGGACTAGAGCAAGAGAAAAAGAAAGGAACAGAGTGGATCTACAAAAACAGCCTGAAAACAATTAACATGGCAATAAATACACACCTGGCAATAATTACTTTAAATGTAAATGGACTAAATTCTCCAATCAAAAGACATAAAATAGCTGAATGCATAAAAAAGAACAAGACCCATCTATATTCTGCCTACAAAAGACTCACTTTAGACGTAAGGACACACAGACTGAAAGTGAAGGGATTGAAAAAGATATTCCATGTCAATGGAAACCAAAAGAAAGCTGGAGTAGCTATGCTATCAGACATAATAGACTTTAAAACAAGGATTGTAATAAGAGACAAACAAGGATGTTACATAATGATAAAGCAGATAATCCAACAAGAGGATATAACTTTTATAAATGTTTAGGCACCTAACATAGGAGCACATAAATGCATAAAGCGAATATGAACAGACCTAAAGGGAAAAATTGACAATATGAGTAGAGGACTTTAATATCTCTCTTACATTAATGGATAGATGATCCAGACAGAAAATCAATAAGGAAACACTGGCCTTAACAACATATTAGATATATACAGAACCTTCAATCCTAAAGCAAGAGAATTCACATTCTTCTCAAGTACACATGGAACATTTTCTAAGATAGATCATATTTTAGACCACAAAACAAGTTTTAATAAATTTAAGAGGATTGAAATCATACAAGCATCTTTTCTGACCATAATAGTATGGAAACAGAAATAAATTACACAAAGAAAATTGGAAAATTCACAAATACGTGGATATTAAACAACATACTACTGAACAACCAACAAGTCAAAGAATAAATCAAAAGAGAAATAAAAAAATACCTTGAGACAAACAAAAATGGAAATATAGCATACCAAAATTTACAGGATGCAGCAAAAGCTGTTCTAAGAGAGAAGTTCAGAGAAATAAATTCCTACCTTAAGAAACAAGAAGTCTCAAATAAACAACCTAACTTTACACCTCAAGGAACTAGAAAACAAAAGAACAAACAAAGCCCAAAGTTAGAAGAGAGAAGAAAATAACAAAGATTAGAGCAGAAACAATGAAATAGAGACTAAAAAGAAAATAGAAAAGATGAATGAAACTAAGAGCTGGTTCTTTGAAAAGATAAACAAAATTGACAAACCTTTAGTTAGACTCACCAAGAAAAAAAGAGAACAGACTCAAATAAATAAAATCAGAAACGAAAGAGGAGATGTTACAATTGATACCACAGAAATAAAAAAGAATCATAAGAGACTACTATGAACAATTATATGCCAACAAATTGGACAACCTAGAAAAAATTGGATAAATTCCTAGAACCATACAACCTACCAAGACTGAATAATGATGAAATAGAAATTCTGAACAGACCAATCACTAATGAAAGATTGAATCAGTAATCAAAAACTTCCCAATATAGAAAAGTCCAGGACCGGATGGCTTCACTGGGGAGTTCTACCAAACATTCAAAGAATTAATACCAATCCTTCTCAAACTCTTCTAAAAAACAGAAGAGACAGGAACTCTACCAAACTCATTTTACCAGGCCAGCATTACCCTGATACCAAAACCAGACAAGGATGGCAACAAGAAAAGAAAATAACAGACCAATATCCCTGAAGAACATAGATGCAAAAATCCTCAACAAAATATTCACAAACTAAACTCAACAACACATTAAAAGGATCATACACCATGATCAAGTGGGAATTATTCCAGGGATCCAAGTATATTTCAACATCTGCAAATAAGTCAATGTGATACACCACTATAACAAAATTAAGGATAAAAATTATATGATCATCTCAATAGATGCAGAGAAAGCATTTGACGAAATTCAACATTTATGATAAAAACTCTCAACAAAGTAGGTATAGAGGGAATGTACCTCAACATAATAAAGGTCATATATGACAAGCCCACAGATAACATCATACTCAACAGTGAAAAGCTGAAAGCTTTTCCTCTAAGATCAGGAACAAGACAAGGGTGACCACACTCACCACTTTTATTCAACACAGTATTGGAAGTCCTAGCCAAAGCAACTACGCAAGAAAAAGAAATGAAAGGCAGGCATCCAAATTGGAAAGGAAGAAGCAAAACTGTCACTATTTGCAGATGGTATAATATTATATACAGAAAACCCTAAAGATTCCATCAAAAAACTATTAAAGGGGCTGGCCCAATGGCGCAGCGGTTAAGTTCATGCACTCTGCTTTGGCAGCCCAGGGTTCAGAGGTTCAGATTCCAGGTGCAGACCGACACACCGCTTGTCAAGCCATGCTGTGGCAGCATCCATATAAAGTAGAGGAAGATGGGCACAGATGTTAGCCCAGGGCCAATCTTCCTCAGCAACAAAAAAGAGGATTGGCATCAGATGTTAGCTCAGGGCTAATCGTGCTCACACACAAAAAAGTGTTAGAATTAATAAATGAATGTAGTAAAGTTACAGG